GAGGGTTGGATTTGCGACGACTAAGGTTGGGTGTCGGTTCTTCCATACTTGTGAGAGGGAAGAAAACTGATCTAGAGATCCTTCAGGTAGTCGCTCTATGTGTCATTTATGAATGGGAAATTGATGCCACAAGAAACCCAGTTCGTGGACCACTAACTTTGGGTGAAAATCAAGTAAGCGCTACCTTCGTTGGGCTTTGGGCCATAAGAAGTGCAAACCCAAAGTATGTAAAATGAATTGGTAATTCTTTTTTAGGGAGCAATTGCAACTATGACAATGCTTTGAGTGTACTCATGATGAAGATAGGTACTTTATCATTCATGATACAAAAAAAATAATTATTTCCAAGAGGACAAAACGACCAATAAAATTTGAAGCCGACCCTTTACCACGGACATATTATGTGAGTTGCCGAGGGGTAACTGAAACAACGGGTTCAATTGAATCAGCCGTCTGTCTGCATGACAGTTGTAAGTAAAATTTATAGATATTGTTCAAGTTGGAACGGTCAAAACGTTTCACTCCAAAACTAGACCACTAACATAGTTATGCACGAACTTGTCTTCATAGGGAAGCAAAGGATGCGGCTTTCGATTGTCTTTGGTCAATATAGGGATGGTGTAGATAATTTTGGCAGTCGAACTCGTCAAGTCAAAATTAAGATAGTCCCCGACTATCATGTCCGATATCTTTTAGCTTGAATTATGCTTTGGCTCGAATTGTCGTATTATGATATTTCAAGTTTAATACTTTGTATTTAAAGTTAATGTTCATGATACGAACATGTAATAGTCGTAAGGACTATCTTTTGTGAATGTATGTTTTTATATCGGCTATGATCGATTTATCTCAATGTAGGAAATTTTAATTGTCACATTTGTTGGTAGGATGACTCTAGCCGGAGTTGAGGCTGGTCACGCTGCCCTTTAACCCAGCAGTTGGGGATGCGAGGCCTGGTAGAGCTTGACATCTAAGATAGGGGGTTGAGTCAGTTGTAGGATGATCTGCTGAATAGCAGTATGGTAACATGGTCCTGTTCATGTCAACTCTAAAACAATCTTAGTTGATTTTCATTCTTTTATAAGCAAGTTTACTGCTTTCGGTTGCTCCTAGTAGTTTTTATAATGCTATGAGATTCTAGGGGCTCCTAACAACTCACTGTGGTTTTTTTTTATGCTCTAATGTTCATGGATTTGTGGTTGTCCGATGCTATAACTATGCTGGTCAATGTCGGGACGTTGCTCTGTAATGGTAATGTAATTGTGGTATCACAGAGTCCAAGCATCCAAAGACGTTCGTACTCACAGAGTCAAAGCATCACAAGGACGTTCAAACTCACAAAGCATCATTGCATGTCATTGCATGTACAAGATAGAAAAATTATCCCGGGATTGCGTCCCCGACGCGTTTCGATGGCCGCCGCCATCTCATCAGGGGGATGTCCGCCACTATCCTACACTAGTCAAACTTCCCATTCCAACCCTCTCCCGTCCTTAGCTGTTGTCGGTCTCCGGAAACCAAACGCAGTTTCGGCCGTTAGTCCTGCTGCTCCTACACACAACCGATGCACATATAGTCTACTCTATCTCTACAACCAACAAACGTATCGCAGGTTTTTGTCGGTAGTCCCAACGCGGTCGTCCCTCCGAGCAGGACCAGCAGGGCCAGTCCTCCTATGTAAGCGGAAAAACAGGTTCCCACAGGTTAAGACAGAAGAAAAAACAGACACAGAGTCCCGTATCATATGCACACCCTCCGCACCAAAAGGGGTGTTGTCCTAGCCTGTACTCCCTGTCACAATATCCGATTAGCCGCACAAAATATCCAAAACCCACTTATCTCGCGAAGAAACCAGTGCAAACTACTAACCGAACCAACTTGAACAACCAACTTTATACGAAACAACGTAGAAACAAACCATATCTACAAAAATCTAAAATGCAACAGTAAACACTGAAAATGTCCTCACCCTATCCTATTGCTCCAAGAAATCGTAAAAAATAGAAAACAAAGCGCTTCAACCAAAATTCAACTCCGCAACATAGAAACGGTCCACACCCTATCATATTGTTCAAGAAATCGTAAAAAAATAGAAAACAAAAACACTTCAATCAAAGATTCAAATGCGCCACACAGAAAATGTCCACACCCTGTCCCATGGCTCCAAACAGCGGACAGTACGTTGCCAAATTTCGTCTCGTCTCACTGCAAAGTGCTTCAGCACTCGATGGAAAAATGAGTCCGGAAAGTCATTTTTCATGAGTTCTTGTTTCAGTGTCAGCACCCGTCGTGGTATCTCCGATCGGATCGTGGTGTTCATGTCAATCTGATGCAGGTAGCCGCTCACGACGACGTTTTTTTGCCTTTTACATCCCCATGACAGAAAGGACTGTCCCTTATGGACCTTCAGCAGTTCATCCGTCCAAACACAGTCCTCGTTCTTAGACATCTGAATGCAATTCAGATAGGGAAAAAATTTGGACGTCCGAATCTGGCAGCCCAAAAAGTCGAAGGTCCCGCCACCGTCATCGGTCTTCTTCAGAGTTAATGCGTCCCGATAGCACCTCTCGAAGCCAATCAACAGTCTCGCCGCTAAGTCCTGGTTCTTAGTCACAGTGGTGAACATGACATCGTCTACCAATCGATAGCCGAAAACACAGCGGGCGTACCTGCCCAGGCTACGAAGGTAAAGAAATTCCGAGTAGGCACATAAGATACCATCCAACGAGGGGCTGGTAGTTTTTCCCATCGGGATACCAACCACCTGCTGCTGCAATACACTCGTGGCGAAAGTGTAAGTATGCTTCAGTTCCAGCTTAATAAAAGTCAAAATCTCCATGAGGTTCAGCTTACGCCAGTGGTCTGCGCCCGTAGTAACCCCGAAGGAAGAACCTTTCCCTCTCGTGTTCACCCGAACGAAAGTACGACCCTTCGACATATGGAAAACGATAACCCACTCCATCGCCCGCACAACGTCACAGTGTGGCAGACGACTAAACATTTCCTTAATGTCAAATGAGTGGGAGGACACCTCATATCCCTGCCCCAAGCGCAAGATCCGCCTGTTTGCATCATGCAAGCGCTGAGGCAGCGTGGAAACGGAAGGCAAGTTAAAATGCCAGCTTCGGGGAATAGTTGACAACAAGTAATTAAGTGCTCTAGAGACGACCCTCCCAGTTCTGATCATCGGCTCATTAAACGCCGGGCAGATCGACCTATACCGTCCCAAGTCCTTATGCTTAGGTATGATATATGCCGATCCGAAAGTCCCCGACCTATCCCATTTGACAAAATCACCCAAGCGAGCCTCCCTCACGTCTTCACTAATCTCCCTCAGCGTTTCCTGTTCACTTACCACTTTAATCCTGTACCTAGGGTTTCGCACAAACGTATTCATTATCCCCTCATAGAATACGGCTGGGCACATTACGAGCGTCTCCCCGGGGTTACGATCGAGGGGAGTAAGCACCAAAACCTCAAAACGACATTTCACATCATAGGCATGGTGCTCATACAAGGAAGGCACGCAAGATTCAACTTGAGAAAAGCATTCGCGTATTGTGTTGATAGGAACCAAAGGAAGTTTCTTCCGACAATTTTTCCACAAGTCAAAACCTGTCGCGATCTCCTTCTGCAGACTCACTACTCGATCGTGTTCCAAAACACGCGGTATGTTCTTCGCGTTGCTCAACAGAGGGTGAATTCCCTCCAACCGACTTAGGCGAAAACGAACGTGGCCCTCCTCACGTGGGTAGGGCAATCCTGCACATACGCAGGTGAGTACACTCTGCGATGGTTGTGTATTAATTCCGCAACAGATGGGTTCTTCCCCCCCACGATGCGAATCTTCCTCCGAGCCCGCTCTACGTAGCTAGACGGTAAATCACACAGCATTAAGCAATCATTGACAACCTTACGCAACTGAGACAGTCTAATCCGTTCATCATACTTTACACGAAATACAGGATCTGCCCCCATGCAAATATTAAAGCGATCCCAAAAAATTCTGGAGAGCAACCATCGCAAATACTTCCGAGTCGATTTCCGGGAAAAATCCTTTACTACATTATACAGCCTGAGTAGCGACCTAATACCCCAGGGATACACCTCATTTAGTCGGCGGCGATTACGCAAAATACTAATCAGCACACCCTTCAAGTAAGAGCTCCTCGGTTTCCATTTGCAGATATGGGAAAAGCAAAAGGTACCCCCTCCCTCGAGGGCAGATTTGCACTCCTTCAATCTACGGAACTCATTCTCGAAACTTACCTTAGTCTCACCAAAGATTTTGACGATCCCCTTCCAGCCGCCGGTCCATGTATTCCCAGGCTCAAACTCGCATTGTACGTTCGTACGACCGGAGGTTAGAGACTCATTCAGTATACGAAACAAGTTAACGTCGCATGGTACGTTCCGACCGACGCGCATTCGAACCAGGACGAAGGTAGTGTTTTTTGTAACCGAACCCCCATCCTTCCTACGGGCTGCTGCCCGCTGCCTTCTTCCCGTTTTTTTCTTCTTCCTCCCAGCTGTTTTTTTATTCCCGACAGTGTTAAGAAATGGTGACCATTGTTGGATATACAAATGCTCCAAGTTGCCTAAATCGGTACCCTCTAGAATGTTAACTGGGATGAGCACGTACTTCTCAATTCCGAAATTGTTAATCCATCTATGAAAGTGAGACTGTTTCCGTTTTCGACACGCATACACATGCTCTCGCCATCTCACTACAGTAGTACGTGTAGTCTTCCCAACGTACAAAGACTTGCTATATGGTGAGGTCCCGATATATACACAGTTAGATAGCCTAAGAAAGTCCAACCCATGTCTTTCGTACAAACGTAACCAGTTCTTAACACACTTCCGCAACCAGCGGATGCGCCCATCCAGCGCCAGGCTCAGGATAACCAAACATAGCAATTCCTCAACTCTCGGATCAAAGGTATACTTCTCCATCCTCAACTCGGTCAAGTACTTGCAAAACTGCCATAACTTCAGCGTCTCCAAAGGTCCTCAAGCCGCAACATCCTCAGATCCACCCTCACGGTCAGATCCATCTTCAGGGTGTTGTGACTCCTCAACATGTATCACCTCACATTCTCCTGCACTGCGTTGCCGAACTTCGCCGATACCTTCGTGTCGGCAATATCGAGAATCGACTCAATCTTCCCATTATAGGGAATTCCCTCCTTTTTGCACATCTTCTGCAATTGGGCAGCATCAAGAGACTTCAACTCATCAATCATCTTGTTCCGGTAGCACAACCGCTCCAAGGCGCTGCGTGTAACCGGAGTGTAAAGCTGCATTTGCAGCGGGGTCTCGTGAATCGTTCTTGGTATCTTCGGGGTCTTCGGGGTCTTCCGTCCTGACAATGGCGTCTTCACTGGAGATCTCACGGTCGGTGGTCGCCCAAGCGTCTTCCTCAGCTGCATAGTCCCCGACTGTCTTCGTGCTTTCTTCCGCGTCAATCGGGTCGTCAATTTTACCGGTTTCAATCCTCCTTGTTTTGGTGTTCTTTTCGGCGGCTTCTCCATAGGGGGACTGTCCTCCAGTGCCAACTCCGGTTCCCTTTTGTGCTTTTCCGAGTTTTGCAGCCTCGAGGCGCGCTCACTCAACTCTTGTGTAACACTTGTATCGCTATCTTCACTTTCGTCTCCGGACTCTTCTTCCCCTTCTTGTCGTCTGTGGTGTGCAATGGCCCTATCACGCTATGCAGTCTCTGAAACCAACTGTCCTCCATTTCGCTCAGTCTAATTGCAACTGAGAGATCTACATCCTTCTTCATTTGTGCTCGTCTTTCCTTCTCAGCATCGACAGCCTTCTTCTGTTATTTAGCACGCTTCCGAGTTTTTTCCGCCGCCCGTGCCTACTTCTCCTCTTGTTTCAGTCTCTCAGCTTCCTCGCGCTCCGCTACCTCCTTCATCTCCCGTTTCTTTCGCGCCTTCTCCTTTTTTTTCAGGTTCTACTGCTCAACAAAGTCGTGCATGACTGACACCAACTTGCTCAGCTTCATCACAGTCGCCCTCAACTCCGAGTCCCTCTCGGGTGACTCCCTCCTCCTACGAGGTTCATATCATCTTGGCGATCTTGAGCCCCTGGACTCCACTGAAGTCGATGGCCGAGCTTGATGATGATATCTCGGAGCCCGATTCGGGCACTGGTTCACATAGTGACCTGCTTCGTTGCATGCGAAGCACGTAGGGGGCCTATATCGCCTTCAGTCCTTTGGCCCACCTCCGCCGGCATTCCCTCCATCTCGTTGGTCCGTATTTGACATTGCGAAATCTCTCTTCTCCAAGGCGTATTACGTGGCAGCCCGCCACGACTTCTTCCTTAGTAATTGTCGAAGATGACAACAGTGTCGGTGTAAACACGCTCACTCAGCCCGACTGAACTGGACCCCAGGTAAGTTAGTAATGTGCGCAGTACACAGTAATGGTGGTATCACAGAGTCCAAGCATCCAAAGACGTTCGTACTCACAGAGTCAAAGCATCACAAGGACGTTCAAACTCACAAAGCATCATTGCATGTCATTGCATGTACAAGATAGAAAAACTTATCCCGGGATTGCCTCCCCGACGCGTTTCAATGGCGGCCGCCATCTCATCAGGGGGATGTCCGCCACTATCCTACACTAGTCAAACTTCACATTCCAACCCTCTCCCGTCCTTCGCTGTTGTCGGTCTCCGGAAACCAAACGCAGTTCCGACCGTTAGTCCTGCTGCTCCTACACACAATCGATGCACATATAGTCTACTCTATCTCTACAACCAACAAACGTATCGCAAGTTCTGGCCGTTGCTCTGTAACCTGTTGATAGCAGAAACATGAGGCTTGGTAGAGAGATTTGGGGATGCTTTGAGGTGGACATTCCAATGGACAACCAAAAATTACTAATGGAACGACGATGGCTGGAACCGGGGTGAGTTGTGTTGCCTTGTAACCTAACAGGGTGGGGGCGTGAGGCCTGGAAGAACCCGATAGTGAATAAAACAGGGTTAAAAGTGTTGTAGAGGGTTTTGTTTGGGGTCCCTGGGGACTTTGACAATTTTGAAGACTTTTGTGATGCTTTGTCTGTGACTATCAGGATTCTTTAAGACTGTAAAGGTTTTTGGTGCTCTTAGTATCATATTGTTAGGTATTCTTAGCCGAAGCCGGGTAATGACCTCGGTATCTGGAAAAAAAAAAAAAAAAAAAAGCGTTGCACCTACAAGGACTGGTGGATGGGCTGCAACTGCCCACCCCCAAACACAATGCATCGAAATCCTAAACATGTACAAATTCATAAATATGTACAAAATATGTAAAAAAATAAAAATAATTTTTTTTAAGAATAGTGTTAAAAGGACTAGGATTAAATTGTAGGTTTCACGTTTGGTTGAAACCGTCCTAGTCGACCGATGTTCGTTTCGTACCTAAAAGATCAACGCCCTACGGAATAGATGATGTTTGGGTCCAGATGACGTTTTAACCAAGCGTACCTATACTGCAGTGAACGAGCAAACACCCTTGACTAACCTGCCTCTGCGATTGCATATAAAAGTTTTTCACGTGAGTCAGTAGCTCAGTAGGGATACGCCCCTCAGGGTGGCGACAACCCCCTAGGGAAGGCAAGGTATGCCCTGTGGGAACTTATCCTGTCGAAGGGGACCACGGGAAGTACGGCTGACATACCCTGCTAGAGCGACAATGGGACGATGAGACTGCGCCCAGGGGCTTCCGGGATTATTTATGCGCCGTCCCCAAGTTGTCTCTCATTTTGTTTTGTTTAACTCCTGCGTGATATTGTCGGGAGGACTTTACCTCTTGCGAAAAAAAGCGGGAGCCGATGCGCTCGACGACGCAACTTATAACCTAGCTTGTTGAGGGTTTGAGTTCTCGGAGAGAGATCTAGTTTCTTGGACATGGCTGCGTTGGCAGTGGTTTTAGCTGGAGTTCAGCAGATGTTCATTCGTTTTCATTGGGTTTGAGTTATTCAATAGAACTTTGTAGGTTAGTAGTTGATCACACATTTCCCTGAGCTTAGTAGCAAAACCAGATATCCGGGCAAAACCTGTCATTGAGGGACACAAGGTTACCAGGGCCACCAACTGTCTTATGGCATACTCACACTAGCACTTTCAGACTGCAATTACGGCCACACCTGGATGAACCTGACTGCAATCACGTCCACATCTTTGCCGGAAAAGTCCTAGTGTGAGTATGTCCTTACTAATGGACCCAGTAGGGCCTTCTTCTCAACCACGGTGGCAGTCTGGTCTTCCCTTGAAGATAATAGTATGTTTGCAAGGGCCCAAATCCTTGGCCACATGGACTCGAACCGGTGCTCTCAGCCATAACAGGCACTGCAACTGTGACATAGAGTCTGATCCCACCACTACACTACGCAAGTAGTGACGAAAAAGCACTACAATAGTGTCAGCGTCAGCTACGGGCCCGGCTACAGAAAGCGGATCCGACGATACCGCCTTCCTCGGTGGTTTTCCTGGACCCGCGGCGACTTTCCATGGGCTGCATTTTTAGGGCGGACATTTCTGTTGTACCGCCAGACGACATGTCATACACGCATGTGGACCTCGGACGTTCCTAACGGGCTGGACGGACAACTGAAAAAAAACACACACACAAAAAAAAATGTTCCCTCTTTTTCGCGGCCGTTGTGCCCAAACCGTCTACACAAAAAATGTAGTAACTTTGCTCGAGCCCTTCGCGGGGGTGCTGCCACGACACGAAATGCGTGCAAAATATTTCGGCGAACTCCACAACCGAAGTGTAGTGGTGGGATCCCGAAACTACAGTGTAACACGCTGTGGGATCCCAAAACTACAGTGTAACTGGGCTGTAGTGTAGTGGTGGGATCAGACCCATAGCCATATCTTGAAGGCCGTGTTTACCATTTTCACCAAGCGAGTATGCTCACTATCGGACTTGAACCGATAACCCGTAGGAACAGATTTTAAGTCTGTCGTGCTTACCATTTTCACCAAGTGAGCTACCCTTTCTGCACCAACAAGACCAGATACCTCGACCTATCTGGGCCTTGAGAACTGTATTCACGCTCCCAGTTTTATTTTCTTACCTGGGATAATTTGCAAAATAACCCCATAAATTAAAATATATGCCAAAATGCCCCTGAAAGATGTGGGTAGAGCGAATGCCCTTTTGGGCCGAAATCTTTGTGGTGTTCCCCTGTCAGGCGGAGGTGCAACCTTGCAATCTGGACCTCCCCGTTTGGGACTTGGCCTTTTGGAATAGCGCCTAGGAAATGTTGTCAAGTACTGGGTCATTTTGCAAACTTGGACGGTACCCGATAGGGGTACATTGCAAAGCCAGGGGTCCAACCGACACGAGGGGTATTTCACAAACTATATCTTTACTTTTTTTGTCAGAGGGGCATTCCGCTCTACCCTCTTCCTTAGGTGCATTTTGTCATATACCTAAATTTATGGGGGTATTTTACAAATTAATAAATTATCCCTTTATATATATATATATATATATATATATATATATATATATATATATATATATATAAAACAATTGGACCATTTCTCGATTTATGCGGGGCCCAAGTTAATCTTCTCTGTACCGTTCGAATTTTAACGGATGTCCCGACGTACCCGCTCCCAGCTTTGAACTTGGTACTTTTTTGTTTTCTTGCCGTTTGGCTGCTACTCCCCCCACTCTCGCCGTCTCCATTTTGAACGTTTTTCCCGCGCTTACAATCTTCCCGCCAGATAATTACAGCGCTAACAATCTTCTTGCGCGGGGTTGACATTTTCCCGCGCTAACAATCTTCCCGCCACGATCTTCCCGCGCTCACAGTCTTCCCCCCCATTTTTTTTCCCGCCAACAGCCTTCCCGCTAAAAATCTCCGCTATAAAAACGTTCCCGCGAACAAGCAGTGAACCGCTGACCCCTTGCTGCGCAAGGATGGCATCCCGCCTTTGACCAGAGTTTGGCCCGAGCAAATATCAGGGCACTGACAAGGCGACTTCCCTGGATGGATCTGACGGCAATTACGACCGGTTCTGTATGTATCTGACCGCAATTCCGTCCAGAGGTCGGTTGAAAAAAGCCCTTGTGTGAGTATATGCCCTCAAAGCGCTGGTTTCCCTTGTGGTGCTGAGCTTACTGAAGTGACGTGGCAATCAGGGCCTCCAGCTGACGTGTCAGTCGATGAACATGTTTGTCCCTCGTAAGGACGATATAGCTGGCCGGAGTGATAAGTCAAGGGGGCCTCGTTCCATCAATAGGCGCATCACTCGGCATCACTGGGCAAACAAATCCGAGGAAGACCAACTGGCGCGTGCATCTGCCCAACTTCTAGCTGAAGATACGTTCGGCATTCTACGAATTTGGTCAGTATCGCAGTGAGGAGGCACCAAAGAATTCCTATCTTGTGGCATACGCTTCCCTCCCCTCCTTTCTCCTCCATCTTTTTTATTTATTTTTTCTCTGTTTCTCTCTGTGCATGTGTGTGTGTGTGTGTGTGTGTGTGAGAGAGAGAGAGAGAGAGGGGTGGTTGTGTGTGTGTGTGTTCCTCTTTTGAAAACAAGGGCGACGGCCTTGAGGTATCGTCATTATCGATGTGTGTGTGTGTGTGTGTGTGTGAGAGAGAGAGAGAGGCGGTTGTGTGTGTGTGTGTGTGTGTGTGTGTGTGTGT